GTTGATTAGAGTAACTTTAATTATAAACGATGTCAAATTCACTTGAGTGCAGTATGAGAGGCGCCGAAAACTTTGAATATAAATAAAGTAAAGAATTATCTGAACAAAAACAGTTTCACTGTAAAAAATTGCGCCAAGTTGACGTTCATAAAACTCATCTCAATAACATCTGTACTTTACAAAAAAAATTATTACCAAGAAACCGTCATAATGTTGAAAAAATTGAAAAACAATTTGTTGAAAATTAAAAAATTATAAAAAAAATTTTTTATCGTACTTGGCGCGCGTCATTGAGTACCCCAAATTTTTTCGGAAGATTTTCAACCCAAGAAAAAACGATTTTGCTTGTATGTATATAATCATATTATATATTTATATAGATTTACATTAGTCAAGGATACTGAACTCATTGAAAACGTTGCTTAGTGTATTAATTATCAGTTTTGGTGAATAAACCCGTTTTTAAAATTTTTTTTAGATCTTTAGTGAAAACAACTGTCAATATGGTGGTGTGTTCAAGAAATCTGAAATTATATAAAATTATTGGATTCATTTTTTTTTTCAGCTTTGTCATTAATCTTCAATGAAGGACCCTATGCTATATCAGAGTTTGGTATTTCTTCGTTTAATTGTAATTTATACTTTTTGATTGGTATTCACACCTCATTTTCCCAATTTAGTCGGCCATATTTTTTATTTTTTAGTAAACACAATTCTCACAATGCAACCGACCCAACGTATGCATGCGTATCGACGTGTATCAACGTGAAGGTTGACTTACTTATAAATTACTCAACATGAAAAGGATGTTTATTTATCCTGAAAAAATTTGGGGTACTCAATGACGCGCGCCAAGTACGATAAAAAATTTTTTTTATAATTTTTTAATTTTCAACAAATTGTTTTTCAATTTTTTCAACATTATGACGGTTTCTTGGTATTTTTTTGTATTTCACATCTTTTTGTAGAGAATAAAAATTATTGAAACGAATCTAATTTTTTTTGTAAAGTACAAATGTTATTGAGATGAGTTTTATGAACGTGGACTTGGCGCAATTTTCTACAGTGAAACTGTTTTTGTTCAGATTGTATATATTTTGAATATAAATAAAATATATATAGAATATATTTTGAAAGATATAAAATGTATATTCATCAAAATATAAATAACATATATAACAAATATATCTTCAGACTCATGAAAAATGGAAGTACATAGGTATAAAAAAAATATATAAAAAATATATCTTTAAGTATATAAAAAAAATATATTTTAGAATATAAAAAAAATTTATTTAAAATATAACCACTAAAATATATAAAATATATATTTAAAATGTAAAAAAAATATATTTTTTTTATATTTTGAGTAAAATTATGATTACAGGTTCTGAAAATGCCTCCGGAGCTACATAAACCCTTAGAGTTCTGAAGTCATGAAATAAATAAGGCTTATTGTAATACTGGTTGACCAAAACTTAATTCTAGGTAGTTTGAAAATTTTGAGTAAAATTTAGCAAATCAAGACTTGGGTAGCGAGAATCGAATGAGCCTTGGTCCAAAACTGGTACACTGAGACCTGTTCTATAACTATAAGGTGGCAGGCTGATATTGGTATACTAATATTTGGTCGATAAGTATTACTTTTACAGCTAGATAGGTTACTCTGCTAAATTATTATACATTGGTTAAGTTAATTAAAATAAAAAATTACGAGATAGTTTTTTCATGTATAATTATCAAATAATTTATTAAATAAATAAGTAAAGTAATTGTAACGGGTAATTTTTGAGGTGTTTAAAAATAATTAAACCAATGAACTATCGATACTACGACACAAACGCCCCCTTGCTCGAATCTGAAGCTCGCCGAAGTCCAGGGTCATAAAAGGGGCTGTCACCAAAATTACAAAAAAAATAACGAAGTAAAGCCAAAAACAAAACTTACTTAAATGTAAATAATAGATATATAACTAAATTTATAGAAATAAATCCGAAAAGTCAAACAGGTTATGTTAAAGACAAAATAAACAATTTATTTATCAAATCCAATTAAATAAATCAAATGAAAAAGATTACAAAATAAACAAAACACTCGTGATACAATTTTAGGTTATATCAAAACCCCAAAACTAGATCTAGATTAACAGATGTCGTTAATCAAAACGAAAATACAAAGAAAACGATTTCAAAACAAATAATCTTACGTCGGTAAGCGCACGCGTACCTTTCGTCGGTAACAAAGATTTGATCAGAACTATCAAAACTGGTCTTTACAAAATAATACTTCTTACACACACACTCTCACTCGCCGTGAGCGTCAAAATCGCGAACTAAACTCCAAAGCTGGTACGCGGCTTCCCCAGGAGACTAGTCGTCACCCCTGGGCCTAACCACTACCCCGAGAGCGAATGGAGAATGTCCTCTTCGCCCCCACCTACACGGCGTATGATCACCTACTGGAGTTTTGACAGAAGGTCAAAAATCCAGGGAAGTCAAATCTTGTTAGGAGTCAAAAGGTACTTACCAATGTTCAAGGCGAACCGAGGTAATGTCCCTTCAGATGTTATTGCCAGAAGAATATCCACCACAATAACACTCCTTCACAAGACTTACTTTTCCCGTGATAAAATTTTGGACTTTATCATTTTCCCAAAAACTCACTTACAACAAACCGGAATGATCGTTTTTGCCATCTATCCGACGTCATCGAACCAGCATTTTAAAATAATTATTTATTATTTTAATCGCAATTTCGCTCATTCTCTATCCATTCGTCTCGCCAAATTCTAAGTTTTTATTTCAAAGTCCCACTTCTTTAAAATAATAATCGTCATTTCTCTCATTATATATCCATTCGTTTCGACAAATTCACAATTCTTTATTATTTTAATTGCGAATTCTTTCATTATATATCCATTCGTTGATTTCCCATACTAAAACTTGCCTGGGACTTAGAAAATTTCCGCTTACATAAATTAATTTTCACAAAATAATAATTTTCATTCTTTCATTATATATCCATTCGTCGCTTTTCCATACTAAATTCTATTCGGGACTTAGAATAATTTTCGTAATTAAATTTTCACAAAATAATAAATTTCCCAAAAATTATTTTCCATATAAATAATTTTTGGGACTTAGAAAAAAACTATTAAATGGATATTTCGAATTTTATTTGAAATATTTAATCAGTTATTAATTTTTGGTAAAGTCGATTTTTGTTCTTTGAAAGAACAAAAATTATCGTGCCACGATTTCGCTTATATTAGCTCGGCGGTTTTTACTGCTAGCGGACACGCGACGCCATCTGTCGCGCGGTGGCGAACTAACTAAATTTCTTTCTTTAAAATTATTTTAACAGAAATTAATAATAATATTAATAATTAATAATAATAATAATAATATAAACGCTGTATCAATTTAATGAACATTTAATTTTAAAAAGAAAGAAAATTGAACAAAATATATACATAGTTACTTAGTACTAATTTTAAAGCAAATAATACTCGGTTTTACCGCAATAATAATAATGATAATGATTAGTAATAATACTGAACGCAATAAACAAAACTATATACAAAATTTAAACAATTTAAATGGACGAAAATTCGGCCCGTCGCGTCGTTAGCTGCTGTCCTTCTCCTCCTTGTCCCATCTTCCAAGCCCTATTCTCCCTGCTGTCCCTGACCCAAAATCTGGGTCATATAATTAATAGCAATTTATCACATTCAAGTAAAATCAATAAATTAATTCAAAATTCGATTAAACTTAATATTAATAAAATTAATTTAAATAAACTCTAAAAATAAAAATTGCTTGTCAGTTCATCAAAAAATAGAATCACTTTCCTTCGAATTTCCGGGTTTTTTTTTTATCAGTTTGTTACTGATTCCAAAGTATCGATGCATTCAATTCTTTTTCATTTCATTTTTTTTGTATGACTAGATTAATGTACTTAAATTATCACATTAAAAATTCAACATGACTCGGATGTATGCAAGCAACCATATATTTTAATTTTTTATTATTAACTAAAGTAACTTTTTCTTGAATATTCTCAATTTTAATCGTCGCTACGTCTTTCTGCATCTTTTCAAGTAATATTAAGTGATTAAATTTTTTCTGCGCAACTAAATATCCTCGAAAAGGTTTAAAAAAATTTCCTATTACAAAGCCGTCTACTAAGCCGTTTTTTTAAGTTACAGTAACAAAAATTTTTATTTGAAAAACTCGTCCATCTTTTAAGAGTACAGTAAAACTGTTTCTTTTTTTTTACTCTTGCTTGAGAATACGTGGAACTATGAATAGTTTCTCCGTTAATTTGTGCACGAGTGTAATAAGTTATTAATGCATCACTTGGGATTCTCGATATTTCTTTATGAAGTGCTAAGATATAGTTTCGAGGATTATTCTTTTTATATGGAGGTCCAACCAATTGACAATTTTCTGTTAAGGAGCAGGTGATATTTAAGCGTAGATTTCTTCCGAATAATTAGTCAAGATATTTCTGTTGTAGGATCGTGAGATGTTCAAAACATACGTATTCGAGATTGTCAACTGCTGATTTTAAACGAAAATTATCGCATATTTGTAACGCAACACCATTCGAGCTTTTTATGTATTCCTGTAAAAGTTGATTGTAATCTTCATATAAAAAAGCGCTGTGAGTAGAAAGTGGGCCCCAGTTCAAGACACTATCTGCTAGATGTACAGTGAGATGAACATTAAACGATACGTATTCTTCGCCGTATAGCATTTCTACTCCTTCCACAAATTCTGATAATAATTGTTTTGCGTAGTAAATTTCGGACTTCATGATAGAAGTTTTTGTTAAAATTGTTACAGCTTCAACAAGAAGACTCCAGTGTTCTAATAATTCTTTAGAAAATATCGATTTTAACGTAGGGAAACTGTAAAACAGTAACCAAAAAATCCATTCATGAGCCTTCCAGTGTACTCTATCCGTTATCGCTCTAGGAGTCCTTGAAACTTCTAAAGATGGCTTGTAGGAAGTTAAAACTTTGTCGATTAGATCAGTATATTTTCCATAGTAAAATTTTTTCTCGTGATTAACCGGATTGAACCACAAATCGCCAAACTGCCTACAAACTCCCAAACCAATACAGTGCATTTAGTCTACATCAATATTGTGAATAATGTCGAAATTCGGAATGTCACTTAAAATTGACTTCTCTTTCATGCCTTTCTCATTATTTTCTGCGTGCACTAAGGTATCATCGTGATTTCGCAAACCTTCGCCATAAAATTTATTTATTTTTGCCAATAGGATATACTCTTGTGTGTCTGTTACCTTTTTTGACTGTTTTACCAGGATGCAAGCATAATCCACATCTAAAAGCTCCATTATATTGAGTAGACCCTCGCATTTTAGGCCGCTGAACAGAGTCACAGATAGATCTTATTAACAATTATTTTGTTTACATTATGTCTCAAATAAATAAATGTCCCTAAAAATCGATCTGTTCTACGAAATCTGTACCACCTTGGATATAACCAAATAGCATTTTTTTTTTTTAATATTTTTGTCAAATAATTCTTATTTACAGATGTAACAGATGTGGAAAATTGCCGTCAGAATTCGAATCATTTAACAGGTTTTAGCCCTGCAGCCTGTTTTACATTTAACCTTCCGTCAGAAATGCAATACGTTGATGTAACTTCAGCTGATCTTTGGTTTTACAAAGAAAATGATGAGAACGATGTATATGGTCAGACATTTGTTTTATCAGAATTGGATCATTGGGATCAAGGTGGAAGTTTTGAAAAAAATACTATTATGGCCATTTTTGAAACATCAATTGAAGGTATTTTATTACCGTTTTTATTTTTCTTATTGGTTATTCTACAAAAATCAGTTAGCTTCGTGTAATTAAAAATATTTCAGCTAACTAACAAATGTATTCAATTTTCATAAATATCAGTCATCGAAAAAATTCAATAATTTTTCTATACAGATATTAGAGATGACCTACAAATTAAAATTAATAGTGTCATCAAAAAATATATATTGCTTTATTAATTCGAAATCTCTTATCCATTTGATATGAATTAAGAACATTACCCGGGAAAAAATGAATTTGCCTAATCAATACTTTAATAATTAATAATTGTATTTATTTGCCCAAAAATAAAGGGGTACAAACAGCGGACCCCCGTTCCGCTAACAATATTTACAACTTAAACCTACCAGTGCTGTACAAAAATAGCGTTAATAAAAGCCTTACAACTGACTTACAATAAAAAAAGGGAAGAAAAGAGGTTATTACCGGAAACGCAGGCGGGATTTAGGGAAGGTAGGGGAACGATTGACAATATCTATGTGCTGAACTACCTCATAAACAGGGAAACAACTAAGAAAAAAGCGAAAATGATAATCATGTACGTGGATTTCAAGGCAGCATTCGATTCGGTGGACAGGGATGAGCTGGTTAGGGGGATGATTAAAAGGGGAGTGAGGGTGAGTTTGGTGAAAAGATGTGAGGAGGTATTGAGGGAGACCAGTGCTAGAGTGAGGGTAGGGAAAGAGTTAGGAGGCAAATTCTGGACGGAGAAGGGGGTAAGGCAAGGGTGTCCATTAAGTCCGTTGCTGTTTGTGCTGTTCTTGGCGGACCTGGAGGAAGAGCTGGAAAAGGGAAGATGGGGAGGAGTGGAGCTGTCAGGAGGAATTTGCCTAATCATATATGGTTATATATAATCTCACTTATATATAATTAGACCTGAAAATTGGCCAGATCTAATCATATATAATTAGATATAATTAGATATAATTATATATAATTATTTCTATAAAAATAAAAAATATTCACCGCGAGCGGGGATCGAACCGGGGACCTGACGCTTCAAAGACCAACACACTACCTGTTTACCTATACGAGACTTACTGGAAGAGCTAAGCTTGAAATACCTACAACTAATGCAAATCGAATACATAATCGATTTTTATAAGTTAAATTAATTAATACAGTTCCATTATTTCATCCACAAAAACTATAGTTTAAAAGATTATTAATCATTTGAGTAGCAGACTCTGAGATGAAAACAGAGAATGTTTTATAGTAATCACAAAATTCATATATAATTATATATGATTCATATATAATCATACATGATTTATATATAGTTATAAATGATTCATATATAATTATATATGATTTCCGTATAGTTACACTGATATTGATAGAAGGATCTGTTTATATTTATTGAGCTTTATTAACTGATAATAAGTGATTTTTTAACATCATGGGATTTAATATACATTTATTACCAGTTAATAAATTATTCATTAAATACGATATATTAAATGTTAATGAATATTTGTTAACAGTTAACAAATATTTATTTAAAAAAATATACATACAATATAATAGTCTATATATGATTATATATATTTTATATAAAAATTTAGATATAATCATACATAATTATATATAATTCTATATATTCAATATATAATCATATATAAATATATATGATTAGGCAAATTCATTTTTTCCCGGGTAAATGATGGAACGAACATATATTATTGTAATTTTTTCAAAATTATTAGATATTTTTTGTTTACATTTATTGTGTTAACTTCAAGACGCATTACTTTTAAATTCTTTAGAATAAAGATTTTACGCAATTGTAAAGGATAGCGCTTCACTGAAATTCATCATAGAGTTGATTAGACATTTTGCGGAAGGTTTTATGAGCACTAATTACAGTCAAGTAATTAATGATGCAGTGGAAGAAAAGTAAAGAAAAAATGAATAGAATATGTTAATTAATTTTCAAAATATGATAGAAAAACGTCTATTCTAAAACAATTATTTTCACTTGCTGTTACAATACCAAAATCAATAATAAATATTGATCAATTAAAGTATTACTTTTTGTCGATTCTTTGAAGCGCCATATTTCAAAAAGGTTAATTTTCTTAAAACTATATTTTATACTGTCATTTAAGTACTTCCATTCTTAGCAATATAATTAATAGAATATTAACATAATTTAACTAATTTTTGTAAAATGATCCTTATTTAAATTAAACAAAAAATTAGGAAAACGGTTGACCCTGAAGGCCATCCCTGCAACTTCCCGCTAATTCCATACCTAAGCGCTTAAAATTGCACTTATGACGTTTTCAAGCTCAAAAATATAATTTATGTGTTATTTTGAGCTTTTCGAGCTCAAAGAGTTGGCTGTTCGAACTCAAAAGTCTGATAGCAGCTTAATAAAACACTATTCTTAAAATTTTTCAAACTGCAATTAGGAGAAGAGGGGGCAAAACGAGCCCCTCAAGAATAAAATGTTAAAATCCTTAGTGTTTTTCGCTGGTTTTAATTTTTTTAGCCCCTAGCAAAGTATTTGACGTTAATTTGCTCAGTTCATTAAGAATAAAAAATTGAAAATGTGGGGCAAAATGGGCCACCTTCAGAAAATTTTTATATTGTGAGTTTTTCAGCTTGTTTCACTTTTTTTGGCCTTTTACTGAGTTTATGGTATATATTTTTTTGTGGCTATTGAAATTAAAAAATTGAAAAAAGTGGGGTAAAACGGGCCCCCAAAAAAACATTTTTATGTTTTTTTATCTTTTTATTATGTGTTCAATATAAAAAATTAGAAAAACGGTTGACCCTAAAGGCCATCCCTGCAACTTCCCGCTAACTCCATACCTAAGCGCTCAATATTTCACGCCAAGAGCAATAATAAATCAAGTCAAAAATGTCAGACTAATTTAAAAAAAAATGCGTTTTTTGAATTATTTTGACAACGATATCTCTTGAACTAATGAACCAATTTTAATCGCGTTGACGGCGATCAACACGGGTTTCTAAGCTTAAAAACCGATTAGTTTTCAGAATCGATTGATAAAACCAATTGAAATTTATTACAAAAACACAATTTTTTAGAATTTTTTCGACAACGATATCTCACAAACGAATTAAACGATTATAATCCAAATTAACGGCGTTCTATGCGGTATTTCTAGAACAAAAAGATTATTTATCACTTACCAAACATATTTGAATGTGAAATTTTAAAGCTATGTTGAAAAAATACTTTTCTTCAATTTTTTAAAATTAAATATCTCTCGAACCAATTAACCGAATTGTTTTTTCGGTGACCTAAACTTCTTTTTAATTTGAGTGATAGAAATTTACGATGTTGCATCGTAAAAATGACGATGTTTGAGTTCTGGTCTGGCACTACAATGTCCTATACTAAAAATTACGATGTTTTCATCGTAATTTTTCGTACAATTTTCTTTCCGTGTACATACATACATACATACATACATACATTCATACATACATACATACATACATACATACATACATACATACATACATACATACATACATACATACATACATACATACATACATACATACATACATACATACATACATACATACATACACACACACACACACACACACACACACACACACACACACACACACACACACTGGCAAAACGGGGTAAAACCAATAATTTCCCGAATTTTGAAAAATTTTCAATTTTTTTTTTCTTTTTTCAATAAAAATAACATTTTTTTATACCAAACCATCTAAAACTGTTCATGAACGTTATTCATTGCACATTGTATTACAAATGAAATGGAAAAAAAAAATTTTCTTTAAATTTACAGAAGGTTGGGTAAAAACTGATGTTGCATTTACGGTAAGAAAATGGGTAGAACGGCAGATACTTAATCACGCAATTCAAATAGCATGCAGCACATGTTCCATTGATCGTGAAACTGCTCCGGTATCTGCAGAACTAACATTGAAGCCTTTTTTGGTAATTCATACATCACCATTGCTACCTAAAAATCGACCGAAAAGAAATTCCAATTGTCTACCAGAAATGAAAGAATGTTGTCGTGATCAACTTTATATAAGCTTTGATGAAATTGGCTGGAGCGATTGGATTCTTCACCCTAGTGGATATCATGCTTATTTCTGTCGAGGCTCATGTTCATCTGCAGCATCGTTAATTATGAGTGGTTCACCGTACAACAATATTCTTCGAGTAAGTTAAAGTTTAAGCTTATAAATTATAAAATATGATGACTTATTACAAAAAAAAATGGAATTATAATGATTCATAAAGAATAATGAAATTTTCAGAAATGGTTAATGAAAAATGGCGGACAAAACGAGATTGTGCCTTGTTGCTCGCCGACTCAGCTTTCACCAATTCAGCTTCTCTACGTAGATTCAAACAACACGATAACCCAAAAAACACTCCCTAACATGGTTGTAGAAGCTTGTGGTTGCATGTGAGACTAAATCTTCTAACGTGGAACAACCAAGTCCTTTTATTTCGGCGTGAAAGCTGTTACAATGGCTGGCCTACGTAAGACTCGTATCAACGACAAATTGTGTTCAAAATGTGATGCTCAGTTTCTTTTCTCTTGCTCGTTGTGGTTACATTGAAAGGGGACTAAAGAAGAAAGTAGATAGCGTAAAATAAAAGAGATAAAGAAAAATAAAGAGACGTAGAGAACATTTGAGAGAAAGGATTTTGCGACGAAAAAGAAGAAGAGTAATAGTGAAACGTGTCGGAGCGACCACTCGTGAAGATCCTCTCACGTTGAGAAGAGAATACTATTCTCGAGTTTTTCTCCTCAGTACGTTCAGGTTATTGTATTGTATGAACAACAGATACTGCACTTGTTATTTATAGAGAATGTAATAAAAGTCTTCAAAATGAGAAAGGTACTGAATGATGAAAAATAAGACAGTATTTTTATTATATATCCTTAATTTAATTTTTGCTTAACTTAGTTTCAAATAGAAGCATTTCATGTGGAAAAAATATATATGTCATATATGGTAACCATATACCCAGTTTCGTTCACACCTATGCTACATATGGATTTTTTTTCTACGAGATATTATTTAAAAATTTTCACTTATTGTTTAAATATATGTACACACACATTTATTTATAAATATCGAATATTTTTTGAATAAATATTTTTCTTTTAGATTTTCGCTCTATCAGATTAATAATTTATTTTAGAGTGTATAAAAACAATTTTATTGCTTACTCTCAAATCTTGCTCATGAAGCATGATAATGATTTTTAATAAATAATCATTACTATAACTAATAATTTTTTTTTCATAAAAATAGTATGGTGTAAATATTTTTGTAACTAAATTATAAGTTTCTATAAAATTAAAAAATTGCAATAAAAATAATTTTCTCTAAGCTATGATTAGATTTTAAATACTTTTTCGTTTTAACCAATTCATTAAGAAAAAATTTTAAATAATTTGAATCTAAACTTTAGAATTATTTATTTAACTTTATATTAAACTAGCAGTCCGCCCTGGCTTCGCACGGGTTTTTAAAAAAAATTTCAAAATTGAATATAATATAATTATGTCACCCGGGGGTAGTGTAGCTTCCCAACAGTGAAAGAATTTTGCAAATCGGTTCAGTAGTTTTGGAGCCTATTCAATGCAAACAAACAAACAAACAATCAAATCTTTCCTCTTTATAATATTAGTATAGATATAGATTAAAACAAGATCAACTTTTTTTGTTTGAAATGAAAAATTCGTTGATGCAAATAACCGTTTTTTTCTTTTTTTCTTATGAAGAAAATCTACTGGCTTAAGACAAAATAGTTATTTTCAATATATGTGCGCAAAGGTAGGAATTCTGACGGCTTGAAGTTACGTCACGAGTTTGAGGCTATGGGCGCATTTTTATCAAGACCGAGTTAGTTATCCGACCGAGCGAAGCGAATGTATGCTTACGATTGTTTAAGGAGGTCCTTTCGCCGCCAATGTAAAATAAAAAATATTAGATTATGAGTAAATTCAATTTTTTTCTAATAGTTAAGGTCTTTA